TGGGTTTCAATCGCGGTATGTATGATTCAAAAATAAAAAATAAAAAATAAATAAACTTGATCATAAACACCCAGTGTTGAGGACAATATAATTACCTTGAGTATGTCACAGAGCAGTTAACTGGATTACACAGCAGCGGTTTCTGGACGTCCAAATGACAATGTGAATTTTTACAGTCATAATTTTTAAACATTAAGAGTGTGATACGTGAAATATGATTTGGCCCAAACTCTAACACCTACAGATTGATATACCGATAAATTTGCATAACTGCAAATGCTGAACACAGGGATTTGTTTTGGTGTCCGGCGACAGTGTCATTGCAAGTGTCCACTGGTCTTTTTGAGACTAAAGGATCAAAACTCTAAATTACCGTTAACGACATCTGCTGGCTCACTTTGAATGATTATTCTCAAACATTTTTTGACACTTTACTGTTTGATTTAAGCTGTTACTACATTATTACAGATTTCCCTCGTGACTCGCTATTGTTTTCTACAGAAATTAGTGGGTAAGACCGGCGCGAGCAGGGTTCTAAAACTGTACTTCTTAACCCATACTTGCCTCAACGTTTTATATGTGCTTGCATTCAGAAAACATAACTTTATCGTAAATTTGCACATAGCCTCTGAAACTAAGTTACAACAATGAAAAAAAAAAGAGCACCATGTGTACGCCATTGGCGCATCGTATAAGTAATAGTAAAAGTAAAGGGCCCTTTTCCACGCCTTTAGGTGTATAGGACATATAGGACTAGACCTATATTTTTATAGACCAAACGGCACAAGATGGGTGATGTGGTCAGCATCACGCCGGTCGCTTTTACTTCACTGGCTGCACCTGGTACCCACTCAAGTCGACCTGGGAGGCAAGGTCATTTTTGAAAAAAGTCTGGCTCCGCCAGAGAGCGAACCCGGCGCATCGTATACATGATGCTAAATTCATTAATAATGCACTAGATGGAAAATGTGGTCGACAACACATCTACAATCTGTATTCTTCATAATATTTTCTGGTGCCTTTTCTAGGATGAGTTGATCTGAAAGAGACAAAAGTATTTTTTTTTTTTAACCGCATGTTTTAGTCGTCTGTTGCGGTTTTGAACATAGCACAACATGGCCGACAATAGAGGGTCTTAATAAAGATAAATGTAACGACTAATTGTGAATTACATATGTGATTACATTTTGTAGTCGACACCGGAAGCGTCAAATTAGGAAATGAATAATAATAATAATAATAATAATAATAATAATAGTAATAATAATAATAATAATAATACACAGATACACAGTGACAATATGATCCTGTGTCATATGTCCCAATTTTCTTATTGCATGAGCGTGCCACAATCGAAAAGATAACGTTTTAGGATAAATAATATTCAATGTTTAATGACGATTTGACATCACAGAACTGGAGAACTCCCATAAAAAGCTGTGTCCCTATTTTCAGCTGCAAGCGCATAGCTCCAATTTAAATGGTGTCAACAGCAGACTGAAAATATGTGTTTCACTTTTCCTTTGAGTGCGGATAGTAGACAGATTATCTAGTCACTCCTCGCACTTTCCGCATTGTTCAATGGCCTCAAAAGGGACCTAACAAAATGTAGCTTGTCACTCATCAGTTTAAAACAACGTTGTGCAGGGCCAGCCAGTAAATCTGCTTATTTATTTCGTAGTACACCGGCCTGTCCTGGGAAAAATATAAAAAAACATACCCGGGTCCTTTAAATCGATGCTTTCCATTCTTCATGGAGCATACTGGCCTCTAAATTTCTCAACATGCTCTGAGAGTTGGTTAAAATTACATGTATGTTTAGCTAATTCTCAAACCAGAGAAAGGCTGTAGTGACCGCCTTCACCTCTATTCCCACACAAGATGTTATGGTGTCATAGGTTTTGTTGGTCTAAGCGACGTCTTTCGGTTTTGCTTGAAACCCCCATGAGCATCTTCTGCCTCTCAACACAGAGCCATCTGTCTAATCACAACAAATGAGTGATAATTGTCATAAATCAGTTGTCGAACTTATGATATTTGCTGGCCAGTCCCTGCACCCACCACTCTGTGTGTTCACACCCCTACACAAGTGTGACTTTTGTTGTGACATTCTGACACATTCATCTCCTTGCCAAATACATTTTATAGAGCCTATATGCATACCTAATTATGTTTTCAGCTTGCGCAATCCAAAACCTTCCGCTTTTCAGTCTGTGACCCTTTGCTCTGTCTATGGCTTCCTGCAGGAGGTGCTTCTTGTCAGCGGCTGCTCTGAGATATGGCCTGACTTGGAGATCCTAACTGTAATAGCAAGTATATGACATACAAGACGAACACCCCCCCCCCCCCACACACACACACAAAAACACACACACAAGGGCAAAGAGCAGAGTTGGACCTTAACTATAACATTCTGCTGTTGCTCCCGAGTGAAGTAAAGTATTTCGAACTATAATAACATGTCCCCTCCCCCACCACCCCCCCCCCCCCCCCCCCCAAAAAAAAAATCAAAGTAAACAATAATTGTAGTTGCCTCTTTGTTGATCAATTATTTTCACTTGTATCTTAAAAAAAGCGTTGGGGGGGGGGGGGGGGGGGGGGGGGGGGGGGGGGGGGGGGGGGGGGTGGGGGGGGGGGGGGGGGGGGGGGTTGGGGGGGGGGGGGGGGGGGGGGGGGGGGGGGGTGGGGGGGGGGGGGGGGGGGGGGGTGGGGGGGGGGGGGGGGGGGGGGGGGGGGGGGGGGGGGGGGGGGGGGGGGGGGGGGGGGGGGGGGGGGGGGGGGGGGGGGGGGGGGGGGGGGGGGGGGGGGGGGGGGGAGGGGGGGGGGGGTGGGGGGGGGGGGGAGGGTGGGGGGGGGGGGGGGGGGTGGGGGGTGGGGGGGGGGGGGGGGGGGGGGGGGGTGGGGGGGGGGGGGGGGGGGGAGGGGGGGGGGGGGGGGGGGGGGGGGGGGGGGGGGGGGGTGGGGGGGGGGGCACCCATAACTTCTTGTTTGTCTTCTACAAATCTTCCTCCAGTTACAATACCGAGGTATTTGGTAATGGGCTGTGTGAGGAGGTTAGAGGTGGAAAAAAGGGTAAAGGGATATAGGGGTATAAGGCTCTTCTGTGCTCTCAATCTAATGTGTTGTATACGCTGATCTTAATTCTTTTAAGGCATTTCCTAAAGCCGCCATTCCTTTGAAGGAGATTAATACTGTTCCTTACAGTGTCTATTTTCTTTCCTAACATTTTCTGACATTATAGCACTCAGAACACTCCCATAACCGCTCTATCCCCATCTTCAGCAGCAAGTGAAGAGTTCAAATTCCAGTGGTACCAGTATTTGTATGGTTTTACATTGATCTCAACTTTTCCCCTTGAGTGTACAGCGTCAATCACATCTCCCTTGTAACTCCCCACGGCGCCATTTTCCTCAGACAGTAATGATCCATCTGTGCCTTCGCACTGTTCACTCGCTCCAAAATAGGCGTTCGCTTGTCAATCAGTTCAGCACAACGCTTGTCAATCAGTTCAGCACAACGCTTGTCAATCAGTTCAGCACAACGCTTGTCAATCAGTTCAGCACAACGCTTGTCAATCAGTTCAGCACAACGCTTGTCAATCAGTTCAGCACAACGCTTGTCAATCAGTTCAGCACAACGCTTGTCAATCAGTTCAGCACAAATTGGCGCAGAACTCATCAGTCTATTCGACAGCTCATTTCCAACCACAATGGCTCAATTTAGAGAACATCCCAAAAGAGCGCTAAATACTTGGGACTTAAGAAGTGATACTAACCACTCTGCAATGAGCATGCCTGTCTCCACTTTTCTCGGCATGCTCTCTAAGTCTGTTAAAATTACGTCTGTTTCAAACTAGACGTTGTGATACCATGTGTCCGGCTTTGTTGTGCTAAGAGATGTCCATTCGCTTTTGAACCTCAATTAACTTCGTCTGCTCTTCAAATTGTTGGCAACTACTGCCTTTATGTTACCCCTTTTGCGGTGTAGGAGGGTGTCTTTGAGCCTGACGATTTACGGCTAGCGCTGTCGCCACGATTGTGCAGGTGAGGATTATCTCTCCCCCCCCCCCTACCCGCAGAAAATCCTCAGTCTTACAGTTTCCCGCTTAAGAGCTAAGTGTTTTAACTATTCTGCCAGCCGCCTCTCGCAAACGCTATACAATAAAGAAATGTATACTCGAATTTTCAGTTTTGATGGGAACATATATTTTCACACGGCTCACGAAAATCTAATTAGTATGCACAAAACAAAGCTTTGTCAGTATGAATTTACCTTTAATGTGTGGTTAGAACGATTTGATTCAGAGAGGAACAGTCACGACCTCAACAACATATGTGGTAACTAGAATGGAATTGTTCAAACGTCAATTACACAATTGTGCAGAACAAATCAAAGGGCGGTACTCCCATGTCACACCTTCAAGAGAGTTATCTGTTAGGATCATCAAAGTATCCGTGGAAATGAAAGGGACATATTGTCACATAGACTAGAGACAGACATGATGATATCATGTGACACAATTACACCATCA